AATCCTGTTAAAATGGATACAACACTAGATAAAAATATAATTTTTCCCCAAAGACGATGACTAAAATTAAACATCGATTTAATCGAATTTAAAAAGAAAATTCTCTTACGTAGGCATATATCCTTGTCGAATATCTAAACTTAATTTTGGAAATAAATAGCTAATAAAACCACAAATCCATTGAAATGCAAATAAACCTATTGTTGCTATTCCAATCCATGAATGAAAAGTCATAAAGTGTGGTCGATTGCTAATAATTTTACTTCGAATAATAGCAGCCAATCCAAATATAGCCAAAGTTAATGATATTATCAAAAAACAAGCATGGAATATCTTCATCATTAATTTCGACGTTTGTTTAAATGTTCGATATAAAAGAATAGCATTTCCATAACAAAATAATAAACCAATTGTCATCATTACTGGATGATAACTAAATGGATTTGTTGTCCAATCATAAACATTAGAAGAGACTCGTCTATCAAATAATAAACCAACTAATATAACACTTAACAAACCAAATATTTCGCCTAAAAATAATAATATTGGATAACTTCGATCAGGATCTCTTCCGACTATGACGAACATTTTTCTTAACAATAATTAGATTCTTTGATCAATAATAAATTTTATTATGCGAATCGATAGATAAATAAAACATTTTATATGATGAAGGCATTGATCACGGACAGACTTTTTTTCTTCCTTTTTTTTTCTTTTACTTGATGCATATATTTGAGAGAAAAAATGTCCATATACCAAGTTATGGCGACGTTCGTCATAGCGGCGTAACTTTCTTGTCGTGCGAACTACCATTACTCACCTTTTCATGACGAAGCAAAGGAAGTGACGTGTTTTCATGGGCTATACTCTTTGGTAGATTTATGTTATTTCAAGTATTTTTTTGATTGAAATTGTTATGATGATACAAGATCCCGAAACCATTCGTAGACATTTTCAGTATTATAAGAAAAAAACAATACTTCAGGAAAGAGTCCATTTTTGTAGACAATACAAAAAGAAACCGATTAGTATTTCGAGATTCTAATTACCAAAAGTTGATTCTTATGAAAAATAACTATGATGTTCAAGATCAGCATGCAAAAATATATCAAAAAATTTAGTTTTAATCGTAAAATATTTGTATTAAAAAATTTCCCCTACTGCTTCTCAGCTGTTTATTACTTAAATTTTGACCTGTAACTTTTACGAGCAAATTTCGATGGGAAGTATTTCACAATGAAAAATAAATTTTTTAGTGTATTTTTCAAGGAAAGAAAGCAGAACTTCGTACTTCAAAAGTACAGAAGCCTAAAAAAGCACGAAGAAATACGCAGAAACATTGAACTATAATAAAATCTATAGAAGTGTATGAATGTATTTTGGAAATATCTCGACATTTATTAAATGCGCTGTTCTTTTTTTTTTAATACTGATCATTTAGAGTTCCATATAGCTCAGCCGAATTCTGAAGAATAGACTAATTATTTTTTTTTTTAAAGTGTAACATTTATTTTTATTGATCATGATTATTTTATTCTCGATTTTTACTATTTTTCATTTTGATCTGCTCGATTAATGTTATTTACATTTTTTAAAGTCTTATGTAGTCATGAGTGTTAAAAATTAATGTAATAACACCAGCATTTATATCAACTCGAAGCAGTGCAAAAAACTAAATGAGCGTGAAAATACGAAGAATTGCCAAAAAAGTACCGCAAAAGTATCAAGAGGTCTGAGAAGCACAGAAGTTTGCTTTTTTCCTCTTGATAATCGATCACTCTCAATATGAAATTCGTCTATGATGTTTGTCGTTCCTTGTAGATTCATTAGGCATTTTGATGTATTCGACATGCAAAACTGTTGTAGAGGAAGCCGATAGTTCTTCTTGATTCATTCCAATGACAACATCATCAGGTTCATTTTGAACAAACTTTATGTGCAAAGTTCATATTATTCTCCTGATCTTACAACGAAAGGATTTGTACTATTTAGCAAAAGGATTGACCATGTTTGGGTCAAATGCTCACTGTCACCGAAAAACGAATGAATTTAAAATGTGACCTGCGTATGTCGTGCAGCGAGCGAGATATTCAAATTTTTCTGTAGGGTGTGGGTGTGGTTAAAGAGAAGATCTGAAACCATACCCACACGCCATCGACACTCACACCCACACACTCACACTCTCAATTGTTTAGAATTTTTTAGTGGTTTTCAAACCTCTTCCAAGACGAAGTTTCAGGTCAAAGTCTTAAAAGCCAGGTTTTCATGAACGCCTGATTGATAGACCGAAATCTCTAATAAAATAATCATAACTTTGGCTAAGTAACACATGAGCTCAAATCTTTTCATAAAAGAGGCATGTGGCGTTTCTTCTCTGCGTGGAATAGACCTTCACGTCCTTTTCTTTCTATCACTGTACAGAATAGAAAAGAAAAAAAACGATGATTCGGTTGAATAATTACACGGTTATTATGTAGTTACATATGCATAAGAAAGTATCGAGTGAATATGTTTTTTTAGTTACCCAGGTTGACGAATATAGAGTTCGTATACACCCGTAAACGATCGTATACGACCGTATTCCATCGTACTACATGGCTCAGTATTACGATCGTATATCTCCGTGGCCGTAAACGGAGAAATACGATGAAATACGGAGGTCGTATACGGTGTGTTTACGATAGTAAACGCTCGTACTTTAGTCGTATATGATCGTTTACGATCGTTTTTACCTGCCTGTGTGAAGAAATTACTCATATTATATTCTGATATTGATTACCCTTTCCTATTTATTAAAGCAAGAGTCATGAAATCAATGAGGTTTAAAAATAACCACGATCATTTATTGTTAAGTTTTCAGGGTTCATATAAAATCAATCTTTACAGAAAAGATGCATGAAAAGCATTTACAAAGGATGTTCACGAAAACAAATACTTGGGCATAACATTAGAAAAAGAAATATACATAGAGAAGCGCTTACAGTAAACGAAAAAAGGATAAATGCGAAAAAATAACGCATGATATATACGTAAAGAAACGTTTATAAAATACACGCAATAAAGATAGTGAGAGAAAACAATGTAAATATAAAAAAATCCAAAGTTGGTGAAATTTCAACTTACTTTTGGATAATAGTATCTGTGCTATTGATTAATTATTTTGTTGTTGAGTTGCAGTTTGACAAGCAGCTAATTTTGCTTGTTTTTGAACAATCTTGACACTATCACGACGACGTTCTTCAACTAAGAAATCACTAAGTTTCGAACCAGCATGGTACTTGAAGAAATCATCGTACAAGTGTGTCGCTAGCCGGTATTTAACCCGAACGGCCTCTAGAAAGAATCGAAGATATTATTCAAACTGCAAGAAAAGAAAAAGAAAATTTAACAAACCATTAAGAAGGCGAAATCGATCTGGATCAAGTGGTTCTCGAGATAAGTGAGGTCGGCGTGGTGGCAAGATACAGGTTCGAAGTTCATCAGGTGTATATAAAATACGGATTATTTGACGAGCAAAATCACCAAAATCTTTTCCAACAGTTGTAATTAAATTTATACCATTGTAATCCTAGGAACAAGATAGAAAATTTTCATGATCAAAAACAGCCGCACTATTACTTACAACGTTTGTTGAAAATATTTCTTGAAAATTTGAATCTCGATAACATTCAAAATTATGTGTACTCTAGTATAAACATTAGTATGTTACAAATTAAAAGACTTTACTCACTATTCTATTAGAACTTGATGCCATTTGGCGAATTGCGTAGTTCATTTTAAGCATATTTTTATTGAAACTGTTCATTTTCTCTTTAATCGACTTCAACGTACAACCTAATGGTAGGTTGAAAATAAGAATAATGAGAAAATAGAAAAGATTGTGCAAGTTTACTGACCATCTGTTGATGAACTTCTTTTTTTTGCAGTTGAATATAGTGTTGAATCATCGTGATTATTTGAATCGATATTAACTATAAAAAGCGAGGAAATAATATGATAAAATTTTCTATATTTCAAATAAAAGTTAAAAAAACGTGACATTGCTTTTCGTGTTGATCAAATTAGTCATTCTTAGCAACCAGGTTTAAACATTATATACAAAAACTAATTTACAATTTCAAGAAGTGAAAAATACTACATACTTTCGTCGACATTTATTGGTTTACGTCGTTTTGCTGGTCAAGATTCATCAATTGATGAATTCGAAGGCTGAATTTTTCGTTTCATATTGGTATGTTGATTGTAAAAGTTTTCATTACCTGATTCTTCTGTAAACAGAAAAAAATATATACATCGACATAATGTCTCAGGCTTAGGTTTATCTAGTGAAGTCTTATGGATTGATCTCTAGTATTTTAATGAACAACCAAAAAAAAAGTACATAATCTTAAGCATTGAATGAATGAACTAATTATCACTCTTAAATTTAGATACATGACTTTTGATGCCATCAATAATATATTTAATGGCATCGATAAAAATAGTTGCCTTGTTATGTGCGTTTGTTTTCAATATGATTCAAAGTCGTGATATTTTCTTTAAATAAGAATTTTAAGAGCAAATCTGTCAATCCAATTACAGTTTGTTTTACTTTTAATTTTTTTAAGACATTGTCTGAGTTTCTTCAATTCTAACTTACCAGATTCTCTTCATATAAATCTTCGTCTGTTTGTCCATCATCTTGATCCTTTTCAGCAACATCATCATCTTAATAAAATTCGTAATTTCCCAATATATTATTCTTAGGATCTCATATCCTTTTACCTTTATTTTCCCCCCAAAAAAAGAAAAAAAGACGAAAAACAAAAAACAACAAAAGTTTCTTCTTTAAAAAAACACAACAACAGCAACTAGAAAAAAAATCGACAACTGAAGAGAGAAAACTATTGGATTGTGTGTTCACACAATCTATCTGACCATACTCACTTTTCTATCTTTTATTTTACTATTATATAAGGATAAGCCATCTATATAAAATAGATGGCAGATCCTAACACCTCCCCCCACACAAGATTATATGAACATATCTGGAGAAATTAATTGTTCATATAATTGTCTATAACCTTTTGATTTAACACCAATATAAAGAGTGGAGTGAACGACGTGGATATTTAAAAATTTAATATGATTCTGACGTAACAATTTTTTAACCCTTTGAGGACGGGTGGACCAAAAATGGTCCACCTATTTTTCAGTAAAGAAAAAAGTGTTTAGTTCATGTTAAACGATTAAATATGTAAGGTCATTAAGGTCATAAACAACTCCATGTGTCATCTCATACTTTTCTTTTCTTTCTTTCCTTCTCTCATATAAATTCTTTTCAAATATCCTTTGTTCGTGGTGCTAAGCTAGAGTGACGTCAT